GATTAATAAATTCCACCCAAATAAAGCTAAATGTTTTCACCCCTGATCCTGGTGAGGATTCCTGCTGGCTGATCCTGGTGAGGATTCCTGCTGAATCAATGGGTCCTCAATGGATTCCTTTCTTCTATTCCTTTCCTTTATAGATTCTTATACTAAATGAAAAATCTCTACCAATACTAAACATATGAAAACAGTCTTTAAGTCTATTTGAGGTCTTTCAGGGGGGGGGGGGCCCTACCGATAAAAGTCTCGGTTGCGCACAGATCTCAGCTGTGACTTTGTAGCCATCCACAAATCATTTCATTAGCCCCCCCCCCCCCCCCCCCCCCCCCCCCCGCCACGTGCGCGCCAAAGAGATGTATGGAGGAGATCCGTTGTGCGCAAGTGATCATGGCTGTGGACTCTGACCTCTGGTGCCTGATTCATTTTGGCAACCCTCACAGCAGCTTAGAGCCGTGTGGTGCGCAAGTGATCCAAATTCGTGGTGCGTAAGGGATCCCCCGCCCGTCCAGGAGTGGTGGCTGGCGCCTGGCGTGAGTTCTTGGTTTTGGTCAGGCTATGGTACCTGTTAGGTAGGTAGTGGTGTTTTTTGGCAAAGCCAAACGTGTCTTTGTTCGGTGTCTATTTTTTTCGGCAAGCCCAACGTGCTTGTTCACAGTCCTGTACTTGCTTCGCGCTTGTTGTATCCTCTGTCAGCGCGTCGTCCTCCATAGGGTTGCCAGCATTTGCTTGCTCCTTGTCCACGAAGCTCGCATGCAGTATCAAATTTTTCATCTCTGGAATGCTCTTCCATCCCCACAGTGCATCTGAATACACATGTTTAGAATGTCTACTTGCTTTACAAGCAGTTCCCGGGCAAGCCGGCGGCCGAAGTTTCCTATAAAAAGAATTTGACCTATAGGAGTGTCCCTTCGCGCATGCCCTGCGGACCCCCTCTTTTTCCGGCCCGCAACGATGGCATCATGCAAGCAGCCCACAACAGCGTACTCGCTCTGGTACTGTGCATGCAGTGGCACTGCCACGAATTCCTCTCGCTTCTTCCTTTGCTGTTCATGTCCAAGAGCGCAGCCGATGCGTCGCCGACTCACCACATCCTTTTTTCCACACAGTGCAAAGAGTCCTGCGCGGTAGCAGCTGTTTATGCGGTCATAGGAGCATTTCCCGGCTGTCTGCGCGGTCCACAGCGACGCACGCAGACCGACGCCTCTCGGCAAGACCAAGGAACGGTTCACCCAGCACCTCCGGCAGGGGCTGGACGAGGTGGAACAACTCTGCCAGCAATCCAAACCACCCCTGGCTGCAGTACACCTATCGTCACAGCAACGGCGTATGCAACCGACCACCGCGTGCAGTTTTGGAAACCCTGATCCAGGTCCCAATCAAGTCGCAAGCCTCCTGGTTTCGCAACGAGATCATCCCTGTAACTGGAAGACATGATCCCACCAGACATGAAAGTGCCATTTACATCGCGGGAACGATCCTGAAACTGCATAACACAATGAAATTCCAGCGACGGCGCATCCACCAGCAACACTTGCAGCCACATTTACAGTGCGGAAACCATCCAGGAGTTGCGCAACGCAGTGGACTTCCATCAACAGCACGCGCGCAAGAGACAGGTGAAAACTCTAGTTACAATGGAGGGACGATTCGAACATGATCCGAGCATGATCCGAGCATGACGCGAGGACGTTGCGCAACCGTCGTTCCGCAGAGCTTGACTTGCCAGGTTCGGAGCCACCCTTTGTATTGAACAACGCAGCATTTCGTGCATCCGCTATCTCTCGAAAATACATTTTGCACGAGACTTCCTTCCAAAGTGCATGTTGAACACCTGCAAAACGAAGCCATTCCGCGAGACTCCTTCCAAAATACATGTTGAAGAGCTGACTGGAACTAGAGCTAACTAGACTAGAGCTGTTGAAAAACGCATTTTGTACGAGACTTCCTTCCAAAATGCGTGTTGAAGAGTGGAGCTAAAGCTAACTAGAGCGAGATCCACCTGGACCTAAAGCGAACCAGAGCTAGAGCCAACTGGAGTTAGAGCTAACTAAAGCTAGAGCTGAGCTAAAGGTAGTAGTAGTAGTAGTAGTAGCAGTATGATGTAGTATGTAGGTATGTAGGTACGTAGGTATGTAGGTATGTAGGTATGTAGTATGTAGTATTAGTAGTAGTAGTAGTAGTAGTAGTGGTAGTAGTAGTAGTAGTGGTAGTAGTAGGAGTAGGAGTAGTAGTAGTAGCAGTAGTAGTAGTGGTGGTAGTAGTAGTAGCTTCTGAAAGTCCGTAACACGGAAGTTTTTGCACCCTAAACTTCCTTTGATAATCATAGAATGATCGGGCGCAAATCAAAGACTAACAGCAACCTATGGTTCCTTGAAAGGCAATGCGGCTTCAATACCGAATAAACATAGGTTGTAACTACAGATAAAACATCATTATAAACAACACCTGGAAGTTATCGCGCGTATCCTTTTGTCACTGCTTTGCGATCACTTGGTCTTGTAACACTGTGCTCAAAAAATAATATATATATATATAAACTTGCCAATGAGGAAGGTTGCCAATAATGCCCCGGAACTCCGTGATCCTGACGATGGCAGCTTCTTGGCGCCAAGAGGTTGTTGGGCATCCTATCGTTCCACCTCGCGGCATCCGATGCTTCAGAATGCACCTTTAGACCAGATTGCAATGGAAGTGGATCGTAAGTAAGTTGGCGGAGGCACGGATGACAATTTGTGTTGTTTTCTTGCGCCGATGTTGGAAGACATTTGAGGGTTTGGCCCCGTGAGGGTGTCTCAAATTTCTATATAAATCTTGTGTTAGTGATAATTAATTCCTTTCCGTATTTTTGTAGTGTTATGGTACACGGCTTGGGGTGCCCAAGCGCATCCAACTTTGCGGGTAGAGCACACTGAAATTTGGGGTCGCGCGCCCACACTCTTCAATGACAAGTCCCTTGCATGTTCCACTCACGCCCTGTTGAGGGTTCAATTGCTTTTGTTTCTTGGAACCCTGTACGTGCGCATCCTTGAATTACAAAGAGACTGGCGACAGCAACATGCGAGCGTGACTGATGCAACCAACAGGTTGCCCTGGACTACTTTGGGGCCGTTTTGAACTCAAAGGGCCACCAATGAAACAACCTATTGCGGTCTGCGCTTGACATTCCCACTTGCCTTGCAAAGGATGGGGAAGACCACTTTCTTTGATCTTGGTTCATCCAGATCCTGCAGACTGCCTGAGGTTTGATGGAGTGTTGCATTTGCCTCACCTCCTTTGCTTCTCAAAAGGTGGCAACATGGCTGATTTAGAGAGCCAAAACCAGTTTCGAAACATTCAAATCTGAGGGCACTACTATCAAAGATACCTTCACCCAAACTCCGGTATTCTACAATTATTTGTGCACCAACTGCAAAATTCTTTTGCACAGTTGAAAACAACCACAAATCTCTTCTTTGTAAGAGATCCAAGATGCATTTTGACTCGAAGGGAACGTCATTTTGCAACCGTTTTCCATTCCGTTCCTCACAGGTCACGCTCACATAGTGGTGTCAGCACACTAACTAACCAGGTACGCACACCGTGTGGCCACTACTTCCATGAGCATTGTGTCTTGGCTGCTGCGGAGTGATCCATGTCTTCATGGGTGTTTGGCATTTCTGAAGCTTGTGCCGACTTGATTCCAGGATTGGAAGTCTCTAGGAACAAACATATTGTAAGGTATCACAACCAATCGCATTTGAAGAAAGGGTATATTTTTCTGTGGGTATGATAAGGTATGATAAGATCATCCTAGTCTGATGTTATTTAAGCAGATCCCGTCGATGCGACATCATTGGTTGTGTTTTGTGGCAGATACTATTTTGTGTGACGGACCGCAGTTGACAGGTTATAAGCAGGCCAAGACAAGCACAAACGGACAAGCGTAGTGCATCCTTTCGTACAAGGTTTGAGTCACTGGTGTCAAGCCCACGTGAGCTGCCCTTTGTGCAAAAGCTTGGTGGCCGATCCAGAAAATCCAGGTGGGATCAAGACGGTAAGACATTGCTGTAGGTTGTTGTCACAAGCGCGTTCGAATGCGGTTTCAGAGAGTGCATGATCCTTCTGGTACGTCCAAGTGGAAGTCATGGCCCTGAATGTCAAAGCTTTGCTGCTCAGGTGAAATGAGCGCGACAAACAGCAGTAGCAGCTAGCAGGATAAAGTCGACAGAAGGCCCCGCCCTGAGTCCTGACAGTGTGAAGCACACTATGCTCAAAGTTACCACACGGCTTCGGTGTGATTCCATGCCACGGCATGCTTGCTTTCGCTTGATGCATTTACTTTACTTGATTGAGTTTGAACATTGTAGGCCCATGTTTGGAGAAACAACAGCCCCGTGTGTGGAGAGTGCCCGTGCTGGGGTTAATGACTGTCAATCATGCACATGGCAGACGTTGTCCGGACTCCTCACTACTTTGCAGCCCAGTCCAAGAATCAATGAGCCCCTGCATCAAGAGTGCAACTTCACCAGACTGGACATAGACCCCACCCGGTCCCCGTCGAGCATGAGGTTTTCGAAGCTGGCCTGGCACAGAGGCGACAGCCGGAAAGACCCCCGCAAAAAGAGCAATGATTATGACTAATTAGGGTGTCTGTGCAAGCTTTACTATCTTAGTCATTCTTAATCTATCTTAACTTTTTCTAACGGGTTTGAACACTCATCGACAAGTGACGGCATTGGAACTAGTTTCAGGAACTTTTACAGTGTACTTCAAGGTGGAAAGACCTTGCTGTCACATCCTGCAGGCTTTTGGATTGGAGGGTTTGTCAGTTCGACACGTGCCACAATGTCTGAAAACGAGCAACATGAGCATTGCATTCTTTTGGGAGTGGTGATCCGGGGATCAGATCCCCCAGAATTGGTCGAAAAAGCAATACTGGAATTTGCAACTGTCAGTGTCAGATGTGGCCAGCAGCAAGGAACACAATTCCGTCAAGGTCAAGGTCAATTCCGTCAAATACTCAACCCATGTGCGTCCATTGCTCAAGACATTACGACTGATTGCCATGCCTGCCAACTGGCTTGGGTGGAGGATGGCCGATTGAGATTTGCTTGGCGGGTGTGCTTCTTTGGGTCGAGCGCCTTCGACCAGTTCTAGCGAGCATCTTAAGATAATCGAATCTGTCAGTTTGGGCTGGTCTGTTCGTCCCAGCCCTTTCTTAGTCGCATAGATGCAGAGTAATCAGTAATCATTCACAAATACGAGGACTCAGTATGTGCTCAATAAACAAGGTAGCGGCGTCATGAGTCATTAATGACCCCGCTGTTTTCTAGCGATTCCAAACATGAAAACTCCACGAAAACGATGTTTTTTGGTTTGCGACCTGCGTTTCGACTGTTATTTGCAGGAGAACGAACAATTTTGTCAGAATTTCATTGTGTAAAATGTTTCGGTCCGCAAAAAAACACACACAAAAAAACGAAATTGGTAGTATGTATATATAACTGAAAGCAGGAAGGAAGCTAAAGATGTTTTCACACTTCGTGACATAGGTCTCCGGTCTCCGAGACATAGGTCTAAAAGTGATTGGAGACTCTCTGATGTAGGCGCCAGGAGTTTCCAAATTCTTCTTCTGCAGGAGAAGGTGCAACGGAAATTTTAGGGTTCTCCAGTGAGACCACATGTTATCCACGCATCGCCATAGAAGACTTATAAAATCCCAGGTTAGATATGAAACAATCCAGACAGGTTTGAAACACGCATGTGTGCAAGAAAACATGTGTGCGCAACACAGCACGCTTCGTGTATACATATTGGTGCGCGGAGCGCAGAAGAGTTTCCTTTGTACGGGTGTGCAATTTGAACCAAACGTTAACACCCCAACCCACTCCACCCCTCCCCACCCTATTGTGTGCGTGGCGTAGAAGGGTTTCGGCTGTATGGGTGTGCAGTTTGATCCGAACGTTAACACACCCCTCCCCACCCCACCCCACTCTCAGTCACTGGTATTGTTCGCGTAGCGTAGAAGGGTTTCGGCTGTATGGGTGTGCTATTTGAACCGAACGTCAACATCCCCCCACCCCCCACATGCTATGACGGACACGAATGTCAAAACGACTTGTAAATACCACACGAAACTACAAAGTGCCGCAAATACCACACGAAATCGCGCGCAAACCCTCAAAAACAGCGGGGTCGTTAATGACGCCGCCAGCATAAACAATGCACATACTATTGACAATGACAGCCGAGTTAAGCAGCGGTCGCTGGGCCCATCAGAAAGTGTCTCTTCAGTCAGACTCCTTGCAACCCGCAATTCCCCACCATTCAATTGTTGTTGTGGGGATGAAGGTCAGGGTTCGTTCTCAATCTGGTTATTGTCCCGGTGGTACAGGAATCTCTTGGTTTGGTCTTGCATGGTCTTACCATGGAGGCAACTCTTTCGCCAACAGCAGTTTCTCAGGAGGATTTGCGATGGAGAGGTTGAAGATTTGCATGGTCTCAGACTTCTTTCATCCCGGCAGCTCGGTCTCAAAGTTTTGCAACACCTCAAGTGATAATCAATATCGAATCCTGACAAGCATTGGTTCTCTTTCTTTTGGCTTCCAGAGAGAATAGTTTCTACTTGTATCTACTTGTATTGTCTATATAAGTGGTTTGCCAGTAGACCACACGGCAGGTCACAAGATATCGGGCGCATTTTGGAGTGTCGGACGGTCGGACGTGTGCAAGTTGTTCGCGGGTGCTGGGTGCACACAGTTTTAGTGCCCCTGAGGTCCTGGGTCCCAAACCCTGTTCGCCCTGTTTCTGTGGATGCAGGGGCATGGGCAAGAATCAACCAGCAGCTTTGTCAGCTGTAACCTCGGCCCCATTAAGCCCTTCGCACTTAAGTATCGTATCGCCGGCTTCGCACATCAACTGCTGTTTGTCGAACAGCATGGTCTTGAGTCTTGTCGTACGACTTTTCGAAGGCAAAATGAGATCGGCTCCCAAACTGGCTTATAGATTTCCGTGCCTACACAAAAAAGGGGATGCTTGAGCCCCTTTTTTGGAGACCCATGTTATTGCAAGACAGTAATAAAACATGCCTGAGGGGGGCTTGGGGTGGGTGGATTATTTTGTCCAAGATGTGTAAATGGGGTCGATGATTTTCGATAGAAAGGGGCTAGCACCCTGTTTTTATTTGCAGGAAGTACTCTCGGCTGCGAAGATTTGTTTGAGCCTGCTTCGTCAAACAGTCTTGTTACAATATTCAGGGAATCGTTTGTCCAGAATTTGTCAAAAATTGTCAACCTTTTTTGTGAACTTATGAGTGACCACAAAGCTCATCCAATCTAGCTTAGGAACCAATTTCTGTTACTCAATTTGGCTTGAAAAGTTTTAAAAGGGCAGAGAGGGAGAGAGAGATAGAAAACGCTAAGGAACTTGAAGGGGCCCACAATTGTGGCAAAAAAATAACCTAAACCCATCCAAGTCAACAATGAACATATGCGCAAGGCTTGGGCCCCAATGATCTTATTAATCAACTTCGCTTAAAGAGGGTAGGGAACTAGAGAAGGCTCAGGAAACTGAAAGGGCCTAGTGAACCATCAAGTTCAGCAAACAAAATCACCTAAGCCCATGCAATCCATCCCTTCTGCTTGAGGAGAATAAAGGCATCGCAGCTTTTGGATTTTGATCTCGTGGCCACGTTCAATTATTTTACACTTCTTGGCTACCCAAAAACATATTTGCTAAGTCAATCATGAGTTTATGTCGGACGGGGTGGACGTTGGCTACCACAATTTTTTTCAGGCCGCTTCGCGACAACAACCGCCCGCACCAGTGGCTCCAAGAGAGAGGGTAAAAGAAGCATCTATAATCACTATTTTGGACCCTTTGATACATTGTTTATTTATGTCTGTCTTGCATTTTGAAAGCATTGTTGGATCTATTTCTCGGCCCCTTGAACATGTATGATTTCAAGGGGGTCGAAAAATGGAGTGCATGGTGCATATGTACAATGTGTATGATCGAGACAAAGCTTAGAGATGAACGCAGCACGAAGTGGATTAAAATAAAGAGACATCTATCATCGCTCTATTGTGGGACCCCGTTAAAGACACTTTAGTTATGTCTTACTTGGAACTTGCAATCATCGTTGGATATAATTTTCGACCTCCTTGAAGTTGTGCATTTTTTGGGGGTCCAAATTTTATCCAACCTTGCAAAGTTAATATATATAACTTGGAAAGCCCGAACAGTGTACAATTTCAAAGGGGTCGAAAATAGAGTGAATATATACAAAAAAGATACAATGTGCATGATCAATGATCGTCGCAAAGCTTAGGGATGAACGCAATGACGTGCAGGAATTGTTTTTTGAGACGTGTCTATAATCACTCTATTTTGGGCCCTCCTATATACAATTTCTTTAGTTATGTCTCTCTGTAACCACACTTATTTGTGGACCCTATTTACAAATTGTTTGCAAGCGTTGTTGGATATATTTTTCGACCGCTGTGAAATTGTACACTACACTTTTCAAGGGGCCCCAAATTATCCGAATTTGCGGGCATTTGGTACAATAAATTATACACTTGCAACCAGCTGGCACAAATGCAACCGTAAAAAACCATACAACAAACTGATGCACATGATGCAATCATTAAAGATATATTAAGACATAGACTGTTGAGACGAGTCGTTTGTTTGCTCTCATGGACCTAGTTCAGACATAGATGATAAGTGAACACCATGAATTTTTCAATGTTTTCTCCCAATCCCACTTGTCTCCCAGACGCACCTCATGACGCAGAATATGCAATTTTGTTCTCAAACGAGAGTGGCCTCCCCTAGCTGAAACTATACAGCAATGATTGCATAGTCAAACGCCTCAGAGCCTTCCGCCCGGGCGGATTTTGAGAGGTGTTCTTTTAACGCTTGGCTTGGTTTCCTATGACCTATAATTTTACTTTGTTTTCTGCCTTGGCTACTCTGATTCTATTTCATTTTGAAGGGTTCCAACCCTCCTGTCCATCATAGAACAGCTATTTGTATTGTCCTCTCATGCGCCGATGGTTTGGTCATGAGGCTTGGGCGGCGTCGAAATGCATATCTATCAGCTCTCCGAGTGCTTGATTCAGCGGGGTCACAAGGTGGCCAAGCTGAGCCGCAAGAGAGTCAGATTCGGGAGATGCACATTGAGTGGGACTGTTCAACATGTCAAAAGAATTCAACATGTTCTTTCTGGTATTGGCTTGGCACCTCATTGCTTTCCCCTAGAATGTTCCTCTCACTAGTCTTCAGCTCATGTGCCAGAACCCAGACGCAAACAGGTGATCGTCCTCACTCACAAACGGGGTCAACGTCAGGGTGTGCGCTACATGCGCAATGGATTGAGACTTGGATCATAGAGTGCAGACAGGTTGGTTCATTTACAGGAGCACATTATTATTAAGCCTGCGCCTGCTGTGGTATAGCTGGCCAAGGAAAGTGTACTACCTGCCCTTTCTTCCTTTCCATGACAACTGCATCTTCCTCAGCACGTCGCCAAGCGATTGTGGGATAATTACAGAGCAAGTAGAGCAAGTGGAAGCCACCTTCGCCATGTGCCCAGCGCTCACACTTTCGCTGTCAGCAGGGCACTGTCTGCCATCACTTGCGGGACTTCAGGTACCCTTCCAACCTTCTTATCCTTTTTTCCGCTGATCCGGAAAGTGCTGCTCAGAGAAGCTGCCACTTGGATGTGAGATACAATGGCGCATATTTACGCATAGTTGGTCACAATGCCTTTGTCTGCACAAGGTTGATATTGTCCATGGGCATCAAGCAACTTCGAATCTAGCGCATGAGCAGTTTGGCCGCATAGATGTAACTTTGAGCCAGTCGGCTCCTTTTAGACAGTACTCAGTAGCCAAGACCAGTGACGCTCAACATATGTTAACATATTCTGTAGATCAGCATGGAAGAACCAGTGAGGCAGCGAGGCACGACCGTCTTAGCATTCACGAAGGTTGGCGGTTGACCCATTTCACCATACCAGAGCGCTCTTGATCCAAGAGGTGAAAAGGAACCACTTAGCCGGTCCGCCGCTGATCCACTCCTGATGGGGAGCGGAGCTTGAGACTTTGGTCTTGGGCTTCTGCTGTCCGAACTCCGAAGCTCAGCGGAGACCAGAGTGGCTGCAGGTAGACCCTGACCTTCGAAAGGTCCTCCGATCTATACAGGTCAACTTCGGCTGCGACACTCTGTCGAGAGTTCTCCTTCGCAACATTCTCGACCAATCCATGCGCTTTCAAGTTGCTCCCTGTCTGCAACGGGGGCAGCGAAGGACCACCTGCCTCACGTGCAGTCCTACAACGCCTCCATGGCCAAGGAATGGGCATCTTGGCAAAAGTTTGGAGCAGTGGAAGTGCAAGATCTTCCCGATGACACTTTTGGGCACTGGGTCCACACCGATAAGAAGAAAAGCCCCACACTGCTTTGTCCAAGAGGACAAAGAAGACGAAGGAGTATCCCTTTGAGGCAAAAAGTATGGTCGCGCAAGGACGTGACGGAGTCAGCATCTGTGCAGACGGCAAGTCTTTTGGCGCTCAACCTCATCTGTGCGATGCAAGTTCTTCAATATTGTGCAACTATCCTCCCGTTTCAGACGCCACCTCCACCTGCCATCTCTAGGTGGAAGAAGCTCTTCAATACTGTGAACACTGCGAGGCGGCCCTCTCCAGTACCCAGCCATCAGAGACGGTGCAGAGAAAACGCTAAAGGATACCAACGATGCCAAATCATGATCCTGACGATCCCGGAGATCAAGGACGGCGTCAATGGGCCAATCCTTTTGGTTGGGACCTACTCTCAGCGCCCATCAAGCGAGTTTGCTGGTCAATGCTGGCTTCTGGCGTCGCAGAGGCTGGAGACTATGTCCGGCCAATCCTCCTGCCCTCGTGTCAACATCCAGGACTTGCAGGAGTGCAAGAAACGGCGCTCTCCGTGGCGTTCACGGATTCCAAGTGGCCAGCCAACAGGCAAGCGAGTCAAGATCCTTGTGGAGCTGCGTTGGTAGAAGAGACGCGGCTGGAGAAGCTGCAGATCCGAGCCGGGAGACAGGGGTGCAAACCAGCATGGAAGAACCAGCAAGCCAGGCATGACCAGTTTAGCGTTCACGAAAGTTAGCGGCGGACATATTTTTTACATTGCTGACGCAATCAGAGTCCACAATGTTGTGGTACACCGTTTTACACCGTCTATATACACCGCTTACACGGTCTACAACGACTACACCATTTACACCGTAGAAACCCTGACCGGCGGGTGTACACAGACACAGCGTAACCAGCATAAACAGCGTAACCAGCGTAGACAGCGTAAACAGCGTGAATAGCGTAAACAGCGTATTATTCAGCGTATCCAGCGTAAACAGCATAATCAGCGTATCCAATGTAAACAGCGTAAAGCGCGTAACCAGCGTAAACAGCGTATCCGGCGTAACCAGCGTAATGTCGACGCCGGATTAATCAGCCCCCCCTTCAAGGTCAACAAGCTCAACAAGGTTTGGGGTTGGAGGGATTGGAGACCACATCCCCAGTAAATGATGATGACCTGATGATGGATGATGAGATGAGGACCTGGACCTGGACCTGAGACCTGATGATGGGTGATGGTTGATGGGATAGAGAAAGGGAAGGAGTGGACTGAGACGTGGGAAGAAAGCGTCAAGTGCGAACCAAATGAGAGTCAGGGCATCAGCTAAAAATCCAAACAACAATTTCCCCATTTGGTGGATGAGGTTAAGGCGTGGCTGGAAAGGGAAAGGAGATATGGGCATGGGGCGCAGAAGATGGATCTTGCGTGGAAGCATGATCAACTGCTGTCGTTGGAGAAAGTCAAGCTAGAGGAGAAAAGGGATGAGCTGGAAGATGGACCCCAGAAGATTCTTTGTATCAATCAATTGGAAAGGGCTGAATCCCAGATGAAGAGTATCAAAGATGGGTATAAGCAAAGGGAAAAGAGGGCCAAGATGCATATGGATGCTATTGGTGCTAAACATTTGACTCCAAATGTGTTGGCGCTATTGAGTAGTGAGGAGCAACAGATTGGAGCAGAATTGGCGTGGCGACACCGTGTGAACTGTATGCTTGGATCCTCAGATCAGGTTCCTGTGTGGGTGAAAAAGGGATCAACTAAGGCTGTATTTGCAAGCTATGGGACCAGAACGCACGGGAAACCCATCAAAAAGATTAGGTGGGACCTTGCAGATGAGCTGAGCCAACAAGCCAATGAGAAGAACGGGTGGGTGAGTCTGAGGACCCTGCAGCATTGAAAGATAAGGAGCCCAATGAGGACCTTGAGGCGTTGGATGACCGGAAGAAGCAAGATTGACCGCTCAGGGTCAGAAGGGTGGGGGAAAGAGCTCATTTGACTATCAAGAACGCAATTGAGAATGAAGGCGGATAGGAAGGGTGAGTGTGCCAGGAGGGCATTGGAGCAATGGGTCAAGATCAGAAGGGATCTTCCGGGACCTTCCGCATTTGTTGGAACACTACGATGTTTATTCCCAACCATCCTCCAATCAGGACAGTCAAAGCATGGGAGGATGTATCCAGCGTCCATCTACCAGAGGGACTGCTTTGCTGCATCATTTAGTGATGATACATCCCAGATGATGTATGCAGCCCGTCAGTTACAATCTATCATTCCTCCGAAGATGGCGGCTATACTGATCTCTTTGCTATCAGTTCAAAGGGCCGACAAGGAAATCTGTTGATGAGACCATGGCAATGGGTATGGTTGAAAGGGGTTCTTGGCAAGTATCGAGTATAGCAGGGATGCGTCACGGAGCATGGGGTGGTGCTTATGAGGTGGGTAGTTGATGAGAAGCTGCTGGACGAGTCCCCTCTATGAGCTATGGCCTCATTGTCCATCAGAACAATGAGTATGGGCCTAAGGTACTGGAGAAGATAGGCTGCCATGAGGCCTTTTGCTGATGAGGGCTGTATTTGTTCATCCCAGCAAACGCATCAAGATAAAAGCAAGGAATGTGGTGAATTGGTATTGGCTGCATTGCTCCAATTTGGTATCATTGATGAGAAGCTCTTGGATAGGCACCCCCTACAAAGGGTGAATGAGGTGGTGAGGCGCAACCAATGTGGTGTATTGGCCTGTATGGAGCGGGATGTTGCTGATGCCATTGGGTATGGCCCAGCAGGGATTGGGTGGCCATGGGTTGCTGCCCAGAATTGGATCAGCGAGATGAAGAAGCTGGGCAAGCAATTGGAGATTGAGAGGGGGAAGAGGATCGAGGCTATGAGAGAGCAGGATGAGAAGGATCAGAAGCATGGAGAGAAGATGAAGCAGGAGAGGGAGAAGATGGCCGCATTTGCTGGGAAGATGAAGGCAGCCAATAAGAAGATGACCAAGATACAGGAGGATGCTTGGGTGGGTGAGCTCCCATCAGCCTGTTTGAAAGCCAAAGCCAAGATTGAGTTATTCCAATGGGTGTATGGAATGCAATGTATGGAAAATTGGATCCTAGGGGAAGAGGCTGGGGAGGAAGATCCCATTGGCTGCGTGGCTGCTGGGAAGGGCGAGAAGAGCAAGCAGAAAGATCAGACTGATTGATGGATGAGAGGATCAGCATGGGAAAAGGGTGGATGAGAATGCAATCTCTCAAAGAGATGGAGTGAGACAAGGGTGGATCAGAAGATCAGTTTCGCCATGGACCAGAAGATATTTGATACCGCCCAACAAGAAGATAGTAATGAATAGAATTTAGCTCATGATTTTTTTCTGGCGGAGTTGGGCTTGATTGATTGGGGGAGGTTTCTGGCACGAAAAATACTCTATAGGGTGATGTACCAGGGTTTAAATTAGTTTAAATTTAGTATTGGGGGCTCGAACTGGGCTTGATTAATAGGGGGAGGTTACTTAATCCTCTGTCAACATTAAGCAGCGCATCCAGCGTAAACAGCGCAGTCAGCGCATCCAGTGCAAACAGCGTAGCCAGCGTAAACAGTGTAACCAGCGTAAACAGCGTAACCAGCGTATCCGGGGTGTCCAGCGTAACCAGCGTAAACAGAGTATCCAGCGCAACCAGCCACCACCAGCGTACCAGCGTACAATCACTTGCGGACACGCTTTGCCACGTCGCTCTTTTTAAACCATGCCAGAGCGTTCTTGATCCAAAAGGCCGCTTAGCCGGTCCGCCTGATCCGTTTTTGATACTCAAACTTTCCACAAGTTCTGTAAACATGATGTTGCCTATCTGAACATCCAATCTCAGAGAGCATTTCCACGAGCGGACCTGCTTTGCACAAGATCTTCTTTTCATTTGGGATACGTACAGCCCCTTACTTATGTAGGCTAGGTTCCGTCAGGCATCTCACTGACAATGGGTCGTTGAGATTCGCTTGATGTGATTTTCCCAAGAATTCTGCAAGCGCTAGCTGCACTTGAATCCAAGGTGTATACTCCATGCTCGCACGATGGGGTACCACACCATCTACACTGATCACTCTCTCTTCGGCTTTGCAGACGCAGCTTGCATTCACGTGGGAACCCGAGCCAAGGTGGCGCAAATTGAGACATTTGAGGGACATTTTTTGATGTGCGCCATGTTGCGCAATTTGACTTGCAAACCTGCAAGCAACATTACAAAGGCTTTAGTTGATGAACTTGGTTACCTTGATTTTGCCTCGTTTAGGTCAACAAACTTTTGAAGTTCTTTTTGACCAACGTCGAGCAGCCTGGCATTCAAAGAATTGCAGAAGAGTTGTTCCATGCGCATTACTGTATGGGTTTCCAAAAGCGCTAGGCACTGCGTTTGCGTGTCCCACACAAATCGTTGCTTGGCGACCTACGGTAATTTGTATGTTTGGGTTCGTTCATTTTGCAGCTTTGAAGTGGCACGTTTGACTTTCTACATTGATTTGTGACTCGTGTTGAGGAGAAAATTTGGTACTTCGGGCCGCTTTGAATCCTATCAATGTCTCGGTGATCCCCAATGCTGTGGACACAAGGCGAAAAGATTGCTGCAGAGTTCCTTGTGACCTAAAGCCCCAATCAAATTGAATGAATTCGATTATATAAATCACTCACATTCTCGAGAACTACTAGTGTCCCCCAATCCCCGTCCATCCTGGTCACAATTCTAGTCACTTCCCAACCACTCGAATGGAATCTTGATCAGCGCCTCTTTACTCAAGGCGCTTCCAGCCAGATGCCTCCCAGCGCTCAAAGAAGCCCTGGGTGACAGTGGTAGTGGTGAGCCGCTTGACCTACCGCAAGGCACTGCCGCTCAGAACAGACTGCAGGAATTCAGCCTCATTTGTAGAATGGCCAATAAC